GACCCCCCCCCCAAAACGAAAACTCTTCGGTTCTCCACGAATTACACAAGTCACCCAAAGCAGCGTTAAATAAGCGGGAGGCGCCGAAAAGCGACTAATTTGCATCACTGAATTATGTTCTTAATTATAGCTTAAAAATATCAGAAAGGTAATACATGTTCATCCATGTCTCTAAGTTCAAGGCAGTGTCTATTCTAATAGATTCATTTTATATATAGATAAAACAAAAAAAGAAGGAAATATGCATTTTTCAGTCTAAAAATAGCATTTTCTGCCATTTTGCAGCAACATTACCTTAACAGATAATTGATTTGAAATAGTTGCATATTTTCTTACTGTGGCTCCAGCGCACCCTAAGCCTGTTTTCTGATAACTTGTGTACACTTCATAATGTGTAATACACAGCCGGCAGGCATGGATCTACATTCTAGGCTTACTGCCAGTTCCACATGGGCTGATAAAGTTTATAGCTGTATACTGAGAACTTCTATGTGATAAGCCATAGTTGAGTGCAAGTATAATCAATGGCATAGCTGAACTATCCATTAGAGCAGATACTAAGCACTGAACTGACAACTCTTTTCCCATAACTTTGTAAATGTAGGAGAGGAGATCTGTGTGGGTAAACCGAATTTGAATGAAGCCATAGCTGCTTTAGTCATTAGAGAGAGCATGTTGGATATACAGAAGAGAAGGAGACATATGTAATCATATTACATCTGCTAAGAGTGTAAGATACATGTGTGCAGCCAAACCAAAGAGGGGCAAGAGATGAGAGCAGTGGTAGTATAATTGATCTTCTGGCAAACACCAAAGATGGTATGCAATAATGAATGAGGGGAGAAGATGGGAGTTAGGGGGAATAGAAGGTGTGAAACGTGAAGGCTTGGTGTGTTACTCACTCTGAGCCCGCAGCCATGTCCAGGTATGAGGTGTCTGCTGTGTCCACCCCTACTGGAATGACTATGCTCATGACGTTCTCTGCTGATCAGTTCTTGTCCTACTGAGTCCACAGAATGGGAGTCCAAAACACTGAGGCATGCCAGCCACAGCAGTCATTGCAGACATCTAAGTGCATCCACAAGGCCTGAACAAAAAGACAAAAGAGACACAAAAGAATCAGTTTCTATTGCATAGAAAGCATTATTGCTGGCATAAATTGATGAGCAGATCATCAATGTGTAATTTCCTTCATACCACAAAAAGGCATTGTAAGCTGCATTATCTAGCAAACGTGAAATTACAAATCATAGTGAAAACGGGGTATTTCCAGCACGTCAATGCATTAGTCATACTTTCAAATGAAGAACGGTGTTTGACAGGGAATTGAATGGCAGGAATTTCCCCTCTTAAAAAAGGTATTGACTTATGAAAAGCGAGAGTATACAGTGTTGTAAGGTGAAGCCCGAGCTGCCGACGTTAACTGTGCTAAAGCGACCTCTACACACTATCTGCCAGGAATGAAGAAGACTGCACTGTAAGAAAGCTCCCACAAAGGGGAGCAAGAGAACACAGAGCAGCCAGCCGCCATGAAAGGAGGGAGGAAAAACGCAACAACACACAGAGGCCATTTTTCCCCCTTCAACTAAAGAGATCTGCTTCATTCTAAGCCCTAACACGCATTATTCCGAAATAAAATATACACAGAAAATCTTTAAAACCATGCACATTGTAATGATAGAGCAGCTTTCTTTTTACATATAATTTGTTAGACACTCTTATGCAAAGCGACTTACATACATTCAGTACTGTGGACAATCCCCACAGGAGCAATTTGGGGTGAAGTGTCTTGCCCAGGGATACTACGACATGCTGACTGCAGTTGGACTCGAACTAGCTACCCCCTAATTCGAAGTCCAGCACACTACCCACTGAGCCACAGCCGCCCTATTAACCTGTCATAACGTTTTGATCACTCTACTGTGGTAACAAGCTGGAGAAAAAAGAGAACAATAAAATCAATATGACCACAACAAGGCATTGAGTGTAGTAGGGCTCCATGTTTTACGAGTTTAAGAGAATGTGTTTATTGATAAATTGCACATTCCTGGGAAAGCCGTTAAATATTTATAAGGAGTATTGGACCCTGCCAGGCTCATTTTTATGTCAAAGATCTTTAACCTCTCCAATTATTGAATGATTAATTATTAAAGTAATAAGTGTTGTGTGCAAAAAGAAATGTTTGGGACCTACTTCAGATATCTAGTTTCAAATATTTCTACAATTTTGAAATGAGTTGATGTGTTGCCTACATGTGAACTACCTGTGTTGTTTTTGCCCTTCCAGCTTTATGGTACAGTCTTTTTCAGCTCACTGATTTTTTCTCACTCAGGTTTGGTCTCAAAAAGAATACCCTTTGATCCCTGTGGGCAAAATGGTCCTCAACAGGAATGCATTGAACTACTTTGCCGAGATAGAGCAGCTGGCCTTTGACCCCAGCAACATGCCGCCTGGCATCGAGGCGAGCCCCGACAAGATGCTGCAGGTAACACCACGACACAGTCTTTTCTTTATTCTTTTTTCAGTCAGATTTTAAAGAGACCGGGAGATGTTCTACTTAATTGTAGGAAATTTTTTTTATCTGCTGCCATTTTTAACCTTTAATAACCATTATCTCTGTGTTGCCATTTCAAAGGGCATGTTCTCAGTGTGGTTATTTGCTAAAACAAATGCATGGATGTTTTTCTCTGCACCAATGCGTGTAAATAAACAGCTGAAAACATGCTTAGTGAGAAAATTCTCATCGATAAAGAAACTTAAAGGAGTCTCACGGTGCTATGTCTTGTTTCTCTCCCATCATGCCGTTGTGTAGGGTCGTCTCTTCTCTTACCCAGATACACATCGACACCGGCTGGGAGCAAACTACCTGCAGCTCCCCGTCAACTGTCCTTTCAGGACCCGCGTGACCAACTACCAGCGCGATGGCCCCATGTGCATGTTTGACAACCAAGGTCTGTGTGTGTGTGTGTGTGTGTGTGTGTGTGTGTGTGTGTGTGTGTGTGTGTGTGTGTGTGTGTGTGTGTGTGTGTGTGTGTGTGTGTGTGTGTGTGTGTGTGTGTGTGTGTGTGTGTGTGTGTGTGTGTGTGTAATGAATCAGAAACAGGTTTATTACCAGGTAGGTTTACANNNNCGTCTGTCGAGAAGGAAATCATCCACCTTACAAACTTTCCCTGTTCGTCCCCCAATCAGCAGACGAACACCAAACACGCATCACAACTCCCCCAATTGTGTTCGAACACACACCGTAAGGAATCAACCTGTGTCCTAGGACCTGACTTCACCTTGTTGGGTCACCCTTCCCTGTTGGCCGGAATAGCCTCCTTTCGGATAAAGGCCTAGAATTTTGCGTTTCCCCGAAGATTCTTTATGTTTCTTCCCCTTCAGGCATCAAAGTACCATAATACAGGTTTGTCGGAAGGAACAACTTCTTTTAACAGGACCTATGTAGTCGAGGGGTAGGTACTTTAAGAGACGGACAAGATTCGGGTCGTTACCGGTGTTGCTAGTGGTTATTAAACATCCCACTTGGGGTAGTCAGACGGGACCGTTTGTGTGTATTTGTGTTCCCAGATACAGGCGCGATAATTATCCAGAGCCGACTGGCGACATTACAGACACTCCGGGGAGCGGTCGGACGACGATTTATTACGTTAAACCAATTAATCATGGACTTTATAAGTGTGCGAGTGAAATTGGCGTTGTAATCCCCTTTAGAAAACAACAAGTAAAGTAAGGTTTGGAAATAATAGGTCCAATGGGCTAACTCTGTAATAGGGAAAAGTCCCTCTGGACGAGTTCATCCAGGTGTCTTTGTATTTTTGTATTTGTCTTGTTGTTTTTCCTCGTAGTATGGTCGTCGTCTAGAGACCACAACCAAAAAAGTGTACACTTTATTGAAGGGGACTGTCGAATTGTACTATCTACCTTTATTTTCAAAGGCGACTCTCTTGTACACCAGCCGTCTCCTTAACCGATCCGGGTCGTTTCTTTCCGGGTCTACGAAACGCACATCTCTCGGTCCAGGAAACACACTACCCATAGACGCGGTTCATATCCTCTACGGGAGTTCTTTTGGAGTTTTTTATGTACTGTGTGTAGGTGGCGAAATTTTTGGACGGAGAAGGTAGATTGTAGGCTCGGGTATACGACTCGGAAAACCAACCCGGGGATCACACGTGTTGTCCGCCTCACACTGGAGGGTATTGGATAAACAGGGAGCCGTAGACAGGCGGAAGGGGTAATTAGGACCGAATAGTGAGTCTCGGGGGGCATAGTCCCCGTCCCCGGTGTGGACTCCGTGTATACGAGGGCAAGACCAAGGGGGTAGTCTGGTGGTTATAGTACCGAATTATAAGGGTAGGGTTACTAGAGCCGCTCCATATTCAGTAATCAGGTTGTTGTTCGAGAATGAACCCCTGTTTTCCCTGGTGCTGCAAGATAGCGACCGTGGATTACGTAAGGATATAACTACTGAAGTCGGAATGGTTGTAATAACAAAGTTAGACAATTAGTCGACTCCGGGGACATTTGTCCGCCTCCGGGACACGACGGTGCACCCAATCCACACCGACCTGAACCTAGTCCCCATCCTTTCAAACTCAGGTGACGTCAGTCGTACAGCATCATTGGGACCCGTTCTTGTGAAAGTGGGGGTTTACGAGGGGACACCCTTAACGGGTGTCAGACTTCATCCATTGCAGCGTAAACCGTATGTCTCACTAGATGTTGGTTTAATATATTTTCTTTGCGCTGCACTGCAGCTAGATAGTCAAGACTGACAAAAGACGGGTGGAAAAAAGAAAAACAAGTACAGTACAGCAGCATTCCTGAGTAAATCTGAGCAGCGCTGTGACTGCCTCTGCCTGCTCCTCCTACTTCCTCTAGAAGAGACGTCTTTCACCCTGCAGAAGCGCAGCCAAAGAAAAGAAAAAAAAATACCAGCCCCCCTTCCTGTGCCCATTCACCCCGCCCAGCCGGATTTCTCTCCCTCCTCTGTGCATTTCCTAAATAAACCTGAGACTGTATTGCAGCGCGAAAGGAAAGGGGAGTGTCACAGACGCAGTTCCTAATTACAAGGAGCCCAGGAGAGTCCATTTAAAGCCACCTTTGGCAAAATCCAAAGCTGTTATGAGAACACATAAGAAGCGAGGGGGTGAGGAAAATGGGGAACATGCACAGGGGAGGGCGAGTAAGAGAGGGACATGGAGAGACATGTCGCAAAAGTGGACAATAGTCAAACATGCCACAGGATGGAAGTGGTTTAGGTTGGCAGCATGTCTCTTTTCTATAAAACCGTTCACCTTTCATGCATTCATGCTCTGAGCATATTTCCTCGCACTGTAGGGAGCTTTAGAAATCATCCACAGCCCCTCCATTTCAGAGGGCAGCGGGGTGGGGGAGGTGTACATGGGGTCTGTCTGACAGTGACACTACACAGCCTAGACCCTGGATGGACTCTGGGTGGCGGAGTGGAGCACATAGCATAGCCCAGTCTCTCCTTCCCTCTCAGCACGGGGACACAGTCACGTCATTGTGTGGGGAATAACTATCCTTTTAAGACCGAACCGCACTAAAGGCAGAGAGGGAAAATCCACATAACCACACTCAAAAACCGTGCCGCTCAACACACTCAACAGCTGTCCTCTCTCCTCGGTTTATTACTGCCGCTCTGAATGTGTAAGTGTTTTCATTCTTGGTTTTAACAGTCAAGTCGCAGATTATGTTTTCCGATAAGAAGGAGGAGCAACAGAAAATGAGGGATTCCAACTGAATCCCACAGCCCCCCTTCTCCGAGCTGATGTGACTTCACACCGTCCTAGTAGCCGGCTGCAATGATTCAGCTCAAACATACAAACTCATAGAAATACAGTAATGTACACAGGATACATGACCCAAATGGAATGTGGGCCTGGCCCTCTTTTTCACGGTACCCACAGTGCCCTGTCCTTCATGAATCAGTGTGCCCATGGCTGCCTGCACTCCCTCTGCACTGGAAGCACTGAAGGTGAAGTCATACATCAATACAGCAGGGGATATGGATGTGAGCGTCCACCCAAGCTATTTTTGTGGCCACAAAAGGACCTGTGCAGTTGAGAGTGAAAGCCAATACTCGGCAGACTGTAAAGATCAGGCAATTTAGGAGTCAGATGATGAGAAGACAGCAGTGTTGCAGTGTCCTTTAACTAGGTAAAAGGAGAAGAGCCAGCTGTGCAGCAGGCAATTCAAAAAAAGAGTAACAACATTTAGGAGGTTTTAGCGGCTACATTACATGATCATTTCACTGAGCATGCAACTTAAAAGGTGAATCACAACAGGCTACCACGTGTTTTATCTGCATGTTTTTATATGTTTGTGATTTGAGAAGTAATACAACATCCAAAGGACAGTAAAAATGCACAACCAAATCCTCTGTGCTCAGCTCAAACAGCCAGGGGACTGGGGTGAGTTAAAGTCAGTCGGAACACAGGATCTGGCAGCAATGATGGGGCAGCCCTCCTGTAGTCGAAGTAATGTCTGTTCGGGAGAACCCCTGGGGCACGATCTCTACATCTCCCTCTCGCTTACAGAGTATCACAGCCGGGCTCTGTGTGGTCTAGAGTGAATTCCTTTAACATCTGCAAATGACATACGTATACGATATTACACTGTGATTGAACTTGTGAAGGCCGATATGATTGTCTCTTGATCTATTGTCGGAACACACACATATGCAGCTTTAATCTAATTACAGCATAGGGAGAATGTAATGTGCAGCTAAAATGTAAGCTGTACATGTGTGTAAGGAGAAAATAGGTTGAGGCAACTCAGGATCTTCATGGCAAGAGAACAGTAAGAACAACTCAGGCCCCATTACAACAATGTTCAAGGATCAATTTCACGCCTGGACCGCAGTGTCGTTACATCACCAACATTGATGGCACCAGAGTTTCCGTTAGAATTCTTTTTTTGCCGGTCAACATTTCTGTTTAAATCTTCCGGACAGAATGAGGAAAAGTGCCGGTCAAAGGTCTTCTTTGCTTTAAAACAAATTGATATGATTCGATATTAAACAAACTAATTAGGCCTATAATAGATTAACTACATTATTCAAAAGTGTACAGTAATTTATAATAACACGAGAATAATAAACGGAGCGCTCTCTCTCTCTCCTAACAGCCCGTCAGTATCAAGCAGCTCGCGGATCCACTAATGAGTGACCCGACAGTAAAAATAAATATATAACTAGTTTAGGTAGTTTGAGAGGTAATTAAAATAGCTAAGTGTGATTTTCTAACCTGAAGTGTGTGTTTTGTCCGCTCACCGCTGCATGTGATCATGCAGAGCTGCGTCTCGACTCGTCAGCAGCAGCTGATCTCTCTCTCCCGTCAGATTAGACTTCACTCGCATTTATGTCCATATCGATCAGATCCAGCTAGTTCTAGCTAATGATATGACTACCTGCTTATCAAGACACCTAAACAATAAGCGTCGCTATGCAACCGGGTGAGGCCGCAAAGTATAGTGCAGCATTATGCATTTGTTTACATGCCCACCGGTGGCATTACCAACAGATCAACGCACAATCAACCCATACATGACATCTCTTTCTCCATATTAAATGTTAGACATTAGAACTTAGTATTGTGCTAAGGGCAAATTATTTTTGACCGGACATTTTGACCGGAGAGATTTAGATTTGGCGGTCTTCAGCATATTTTACCGGTCAAAGTCCGGTAATTACCGGCTAACGGAAACTCTGGATGGCACATCTCTTTATTTTACCTTGTGCTACAACCCATGAATGCTATTGTAACACAGGAACAGGAAGGATGTTAGGGAGGTTTAGGGGAGCTGAAGGCACCTGTCGGGGAGGCAGCTTGCTAGTTTAAAGAAGGATCTGTTACAGCCCAGCTAGCAGCACAAAAACAGGTCACCTGAGCCCTGCTTCTCCTCCCAGCTGGGATACCACATGACTGGTTTGGGCCCCAGAGCCAGGCCGTTTGTTACTGGGTTGCTCAGGGTCTGGGTACCACACAAGTGAGCTCACTGGAGACCAGGCCACAGCCCCACAGCTTAACCCCATATGATGTGGTGTGGATCCACACACACACACACACACACACACACACACACACACACACACACACACACACACACACACACACACACACACACACACACACACACACACACACACACACATTTCAGGGATGAGAGTTTATTGTCTAGAGACTGGGAAGAGCACAATAACAAGGGGAGCAACTACAAGTACAAAGAGAGTGAGCTGTGGAGTCTGTGGCCTTCATCTGTCCTGTCAATATGTCAATACACTAATAGACATCCTGTGCACATGCTTGACTTGTTTATCGTCTCCCTTAGATGAGCAGACTGAAAAAATAAAATAGTTCTGTGCTAGCTCTTTCGATGAATGTGTGTATGAGAATCTGTGTAAGCGTAAGGGTGAGAGGAAAGGTGTGTCATCAGGGACTGCTACGAGTCCCAGCTGCCTGTCAGAGTGCCCTGTCCCTATGGCAGAGGGGAAGTGGCAGCTCAACTCCTGTCACCGTCTGTCAACAAGGCAAGCAAACACTGCTCAAGGCAACCAGGCACACATATAGACAGTCAGGTATTTAATGCTTTCCACTTCAGTATCACGTAGAGCAGGGGTGCCAACACTTTTTCAGCTTGGGAGCGACTTTTAAAATGACCAAGCCCAAATGATCTACCTACAGGGCCGCCCCTGCCCAATCTTTGCGGCGAGCGGGGAGGGGTGCTAGTGGACTAAACAGCGGATAAACTGTGGCGCGCTTACACTAATTGCGCCGCATAAGCGCATAATAGTGTGCGCATTTGCGCTTCAGATGAGGAGGTGAGGCCCCCTCATAATTGCATGTACCCGTATGGCACAGTACAACTCAGACTGGCTTACCTGTACGTCAATCAAGTGGCAAATGCCATAGTCAGGATGGATGATAGGTTAACTTTTTCAATGCCATGCGATCTACCCACATTAACTTTGCGATCGACAGCCCTTTCAAGGTACATAAAATCAGATGTTCTCAGGCATTAAATACCTCTGTTGGATTTTACCTATAAATGTGAATACAAAAAGATATTCAACAGGATTCCTTTATATCCAAGTATTGTTACTTTGTTAATTGTACCAGTTGTTAATATTAACTTTAATTGTATGTTTCGACCATATGATTTGATGTTTAATTAGCTCACAAGGAGACACCAAATATGTATGTCAATAGGTGTGTTTTGAAAATGTTCAAGACTTTGTAGAGACCCTGCTTGTCGACAGAAGGGTACAAATAAGTGAGTATCAGAGCAGAGACCTCTGCTCCTTTACAGGGAAGAACAAGATAGCTGGGGATTTGTGTATTATGTAGCAGAGACTGATTAAGCACAGTAGGGCCCTTTCATTCATCTAGTAGTAATAAATCCTGCACATAAGAGAAGACCCTTTGGCACTTACTATTATGTAAACTATATCCACAGGCAGCTGAACTTAATTTTAACTTTACAAAGACCCTCAATGAATAGAAGCTATCAGACCATCCAAGTGCTTAGTAATGATTATGATGTGAAAAATGTGTGTGAAAAAAGTGACTTAAAACTAAATATTTTCTCTGCATATTTACAGCAAATTGATTGCAGTGGTTTAGAAGCCTTGCATTAATCCTGCTACTGACAAGTACTTAAGTTAAATAAGCACTTTTGATAAAACATTAATCTGACACTTATGATTGGCAACATTAGAGCAACCTCACCAACACTCACAGGTAAGCAGCGCTTTTCAGTCATGTAAAATGTAAATCATGTAAGTTGTTGATAAGTTTGAACTACAAAATAAGCATATTTGAGATTCAATGTGCAACAGCAATTATGCACTTTTCTTTCTCTTCACAGAAGTGACCAGGAGGAGAAGAGACAAAAACACTACTTGGCATTAGTCACGAACAGACCTTTTTCAGCTGAAAAAAGTGCCCAAGTTTGTCCCACAGGGTGACATGGAGGAAAGGACAGCTGAGGCAAGCCATGGAAGGGCTTTGTCAGAGCCCACAGGCTTGCTACCCTGGAAACTGGCCTATGATTTGGCTCCCTCAATTAATATAATAAAGATTTTAACATAGTGATAGTAGATAGTTAGTTAAACATGGATTTCTCGACCAAAGCATTTATACAATATTCCCTTTTTTATAGTTCCTATTATTTTGGATTGTGCTGAGACAATATGCAAGACAAGTATCTTATGTGAGAAAGGCAATGTTTTTGAATGACTATTGTGGCCTTTAAGTAGGTACTGTCTAATGGTAGGCTATACTAGTACTGCTTTTGTACCAGTATAAAATGTATCATGTTTGTTTAGGTTGAGTCTAGCGCTAAAGCAAATTAAATATTCAACTGATTTCTATCTTTAAATCATACTATTGACA